ACCAGATTCCAACAAGGTCCCATTTTCACCGCTGTACAATCTCACAACACGCAAGGCTTCTGACAGGGGCAGTTCGCGAGCCCGATGGGGGGCGGCTGCTTGTCTACTTGTCTGCGCTGATGGCAGTGAGCCAATAGACGGGAGTCCGCTGGCGACCACAATACATACGCCTACCATGATAGTCACGTTGACGGTGAAAGACGATAATGGTCACTCCTCGTTATTCCTACAAACGATGTGTTATGCAGCCATCTACGAGAATGGTCATTTGAAATCAAATACTTAGTAATGTATCACACAGAAGCAAGTAACTTATTGAGTGATTGTCCATCCCCTTAAGGGTCATCGGTTCGAATACAGCAGGATTCAGCGGGTGAAAGTTACTGACGAGACTCAAGGGGGCGAAACGACCGTCTAGCGCTTTCCTGGAGGTGTAGTGGTTATTTGGCTGAGAATACCCGCGGTGCATTTACCAGAAAAACAATAAATTCGTCTACTACTCACTAGTAATAGCAGGTTGTCAGTTTTCAACGATTCTCAGAAATTGCTACCCGTACATCGATTCTCATGAAGTGCACCAGGTACAACGATGATGCACTTATTTGATACAATAATCAGCGTGTTAGTATAACATTGACCTCAATGATGCACCATCGTAAACATTATCATACAATTTACTTATGTGCTGAACCGATCGGGAAGAAACATTATTGCACGCAGGTTGGATTGAAGCTGCTTCTTACAGACACCGCAGATAACAACCGCATTCTCTAATTTTAGTACATTTGGTCGAATCACTGCGACCAGTAGCCGCCCCTAATCAAGTGGGTTAGATACGTTACTGCGTTGACTTCACTGCAATTATGCTATACTGGGTGAGTTCATGTATTTCGATTTCTATTCACTTTCGCTTCCAACGAAACAACCGTAGTTTTTTGGTAAAATCCCATCTTCTAAAAATTAAAAGTAAGATGCACAAGAGTTCTACCCGGTGTGGCCCATGTCTCTCGGAGTTGGGACAGACTAGTCAGAGTGAGCTGCTTGATCACATGGTTACCAAAGGCGGCGGAGTCTTTGTCATGTAATAAACTATTCGGAATGACACATAGACTTGTTTTCTAATCCGATAGGTCCGTAAACATGCACATACCGCAGTGGTTACTAAAACATCAGCAGTAAGCACAATTGTGGTCAGCGCTGTTTTTGCAATCAGTTCATGCTCGTGATTTTCATATAGACGTAGACTTATATTACGTAACATTTGAAGTCAGAATAGTTCTCATCTGAGTTTGAATTTTTTCGGGGAAGGGCAGTGCCCCTTCTCTCACTCAAGGACGATTGGTCCCAAGGGATTAAGGATAGCTACTCCAGTCCACGTCGACTCTTTCGCGTGTGACCATGTTGGACCCGTATACTTCCCAGCTACAGCTGTTACCGCCATAAGGAGCGACAAGTTGCTACGAGTTCAGAAAGTTACCGAGGGACTAGAGGTCTGTTTACCCTACTCGAGAATAGATTACCGCGAACTACCTGTTAGTGGCTTATTGGTCAGGGATGAATATTTTGGACCCTATGCGGTGGTCTAATTCGTCATATTAAACGAGCAACTCTACTCAGCTATGTTCCGCTTGCTGTCCATTGATACATTGTATAGAGTAGTGAACTTGGACAGAGGGGATGTGTGAACAATGGCAATGAACTGTGGGGTTCCCATCATTGTCATTGAAAATGTCCACAAGGCGCCTGTGTTGCACCAACCACGGTTGAAGACGCAAGCATCACATCAGGGAAAAGCCAGAGGAGTTGTGCTCAACAGTCACGTGGAAGAGAGGCAAGACTGAGCTAGGGCCGTGTGTAACTCAACGCTCACACACACTGTGAAATTGGGTGAATGTGCATATTATAAGTACCTAACGCTTGGTGTGGATCCATAGATCTTTGAACAATGGAATAATAGTTCATCTTTTGCACGGTTAGGAAGCATGCGTACCTAGTTATTCATGACAATGACCAGCTTCTTCCTAGCTTCAGTAATCGATGTGTTGACATAAATCGTGTAAGTGGCATTCGAATTCGCATCACATTCTGCCACAAATGACTTTTCATGCGCCGCTGGACTTCTTGCATGTGGTAACACATATCCGCTCGTGGAAGTTCAACTCATTTGTTTTGATGCTGAATCACAAGTACTACGTCAGCTTCAGCCTCGACATGATTTAATAAACGGAACCGGATGTCATGTCTTCATGGTGCGTATGTTCGAGTTAACAACACCAATTATCCATCCGTTTCATCATTTCAAATCGGAGTGATTGAACTGGCCAAGGTTCCTTTCAGTGCAATTCGCGGTCACCTTTAGATTGCCCGTCGCATTCCATTTACACAACCAGTACTACAATATTCCCCCCAATCAATGGAAACAATGGTTTTTCATAGGTAAAACTGCTGATGCATGACATGTCCCATAGTATAGATGGGTGGATAGGTTAAGAAATAAATTCGCGTCAAATAAAAAAGCAACTTTTGGCGGAATCAGCAGGAAGGTAAAAGGGGCACAAGGAATATTTATCGTACGATGATGCAAGATCAAAACGGGATGTATAGCGTAGTGTAAATGACTGAAAACATTATCGAGACGTTTTTTAAACACTAGTAATGCGGAGGCGAAACAATGTAGGTGAAAAAGGCATTGCAAGCTTGGCACACACGAAGTAAAACGAGTCTTTGGTGGCATTCCTATCGACCATACCGTGTGGCCAGCTTTAGCTGACGACCTCTTGGTGGTATTGTGGTTTAGTTTTAGAAGTTGATGACAAGCATGTTGCGAACCTCCGGATCTGATATGTCACTATCAAATAACCGAGCAAGCATCGATAACTTCCACCGGAACCTTGAGGGTTTCCAGTCTTATTTGGAAAGGGCGAGGAAACTGACCCACTACATACTTGGTCGATTTTCGTTGTGGCGTTTCAAGTACTTTAAGGTCGTGCTCTTGCCACGGCTGCCAAGCGTGGATGGCGTACTCCGTATGGAGCCTAATGTAGGTGTTGAACGGCTGAGAGAAGATGGAAAGGTTAGCTCGTTCGTATGTGCTCTGCAATAGGCCAGGGTTTTGGTTTGTTTTCTTGGATGATTTCTCTACCTGACGTGAACAGCAAATGTCGCCTTTTATCATTACTCCTAGGTCGCAATCAGTAGAAGTGCGCTGCACAAGTTGATTCCCCGCCTGTACTCCCAAGTATATTGACGGTGTATACTCCTTAGCTTACATCTCTTGGAGTTGTAATGAAGCAGCTTCTGAATCCTCCCCCTACTTACGCTACCTTGATCATCCTGCAGTGCTACGTAGTCACATAGAGACTTGATGGCCCGTCATATCTTGAGATCCACAGCAAAGAGTGGAAATTTTGCGGCGACCATTAGTCAGTGCGTTTATGTACACCAAAAACCGGTGCTAACCAAGTAGTATGCCCTGTAGCCATCTGCAATGAATTTCAATGGGATCACAAATATGGCTCTGAGAAGTCACATATTCTGATGTCGTTGGAGAAGAAAGTTCTCAAATTAACTTAGGACATGGTCACAAATTCAAAGCTTCTGAAGCTCCTGAAAGAGGATGTGGTTGATCAGGAGATGGAAAGCTTTTGTAAAGTTGCGAAAAATGGAGTCAATTCCGACACCGGTATCGGAGGTTTCAGTTCGACTGTGGTAAGCATGTGATAGCTTTGAGATGCATGGTTGGTTACGGCGGGATCCATCTTGTCCTGACGCATTGATGTTGTATTTTTGCACATAAACGATCAGTGCTTCGGATACCATGGCCTAAATAACTTCGGAAAGTATGATCCCGCGCTTCCATATTGCTGGAACCCACACCTTTTCGCAACATCGTTGGATAAAATGAGGAGTGTGACTTAACAAAATACAATGCAATCAAACACAGTACTTCTGTGCGGATATTGTAAACACCAGAAGAGGTGTGCTGGTACAGGGAACTCAACTTTCTCGTGGTATCTTCGGTCACAAACGGCATATGGATAGGTCCTGATGTTGGTATAACCTTCGTGAACAGAATAGACGACGAAGTTGTAATCTGGAAGCTTGGGAAGAATGGGATGCATACCCATAGTGACGCTTGCGCCACGCCTGCCATTTGTCCCCAACACTCGCCCTCCCACCCAGACGCCCCCCTCCTCCCCGTCCGCTCCCCGCCGTCTGCCCTCCCCTCCCCGCCCCCCCCCCATAGTACGAGCCCCACCCCCATCCGCCTACAAGGCGCCCGGCCCGCACAACCCCCCCCACTCACCAGCACGCTCAACGCAACCCTCTCGCCTGCCCCAAGTTCACTCACTCGCGCGCCGTATCACAGTGCCCCGCCCAGCCCCCCCATACTCAGATCACGCTGCTGTCGACCACTTCCTCACGCACGGTTTCATCTCACGCACCGTACGACCCTCCCTGCCGTGGGCTCGTCTTCTAAGTCCGCTATCATGTCCTCACCTCTCTACCCACCCAGCCCGCTCTCAAAATGGAGCCCCGCACCGCAGGGCATCCCTCGGCGCTATAACGCCTGCCCCCACCCACCGCCACCTTCGCCTCCCTGCTCTCGTTCCTCCGGTGAGTCCTTGTACGTTTCGCCAAGGCCCGCGTGCAAACTGCGCGCTCCCTTATGCACACCTTTCGTGTGCCCCCGCATAAGTCGTCAGGAAAGCAATTTATCTCATCCCCAAGCCCCCCCCCCCCCCCTCCCCCGCCCCCTCCAGTCCGGCGCGCGTCCTGCGTCTCTCGACCAGCCACCCTTCTATCCTAATGCCCTTGCTCCAGACCTTGATTGACCCCCAACCCCACAAAGCCCCCTCGTCACCAGGCACCCCACGCATCCTGCCGCGCGGCGCCTTCATCCCCCCCGTCAGCCCAAGAAATGACCACTCTCCCCGCGCTAGCCCACCACAGTATCGCGTATGAAGCTGCAGGCCCAAAGTTTGGGTGTTGCCCACCCTTCATACGACCCCTACTCGGCGAACCCGCCATTCCCTCGCCAGAACCCCCCCTACACACTCAACACCTCGGTTGAACCACGCAGCCGCGCGTCTGCGCCGTGCCCCCCCCCCCCCCCCCCCACATCCCCACCCACCCCCCCCCCACCTCCACCCGCCCCATCCACCCCCCCCCCACCCACGCAACCCCCCCCCCCTCCGACCTCCCCCTCCCCCCCCACCCCCCCCCCCCCTACATCGACCCCCCCCGCCTCCCTCCCCCCCCCCTACCCCCCCCCCCCACCCCCCCCCCCCCCCGCCACCACCGCAGCAACCCGACCCCCCTCCACGATTAACCGCCCTGACAACCCCCGAGAGTGCAGGATAGCAATGATCTTGTATCCCCGCCCCCACGGAATACTCCTGCGCGTGATAACAAAGCCCTCCCTCCATAATTGCCCCTCTCTCCCATCAACCATCAATCCCCCGACCCGGCCCTCCGCCAGACCCACGGCGCCTCAAAGCTCCCTTCCCCCCCTCTATTTCTCCTCTTTGAAGTTGTTTATCGAGGCAAGGCTGTGGTTCTAGGACGGGAGAAGTGACCAATATCCCCCAACCAGGAGAACGTAACCTTTGTGCACCTGTACAAGGAACCGTGTGCAGGAGTGCTCGCTTAGCGTGAATTATCCCAGTTGGAGGTATTTGCCGGAGTGCAATACATCCAGACCTAACGTTAATATACCGTTCGCCCCCCCGCCTCAGCTGAAGCTGGCACCGAAATGCGCATCGACAGTGTTGAGATTAAGATGTAGCTCATACGGTGCCGTGCCGTGGTACCACCACGTTCTCTATTTGCCGTTCGTTGGGCAGAGGGCAATAGATGTCCCTAGGCAGCCCTAGCCCATTTCGCGTTTAACGTGATGAGGTCCCAGCACTCAAGCCACCCCTTACTCAGCCGGACTCTAATTACCGTTTCTGCGACAGAGTTTGTGTTTGGTGTAAACAAGATAGCGCCTTTTAAATTAAAACTTCTGATGGAATGTGAAGACAAAAAAGGGTGTGAGATTTAGCGGCCTGTTGTTGGTTTTGGGGGGGGGGGGGGACAGCTTTGAGATTTATTGAGACCTTACCGGCTCTGCCAGAGGGGGTTGGGATTACGTTGCTTTCACCAGATTACTCCGAAAGCATGTGACCGTGATGAGTCACTCGCAATCATGTGGTGTCCCTCCGGAAGTCCTGATGGCTGATGAGTCAGTTGACAGCATGCGACTTTACAAAGGGTATTTTTCACAGATTTTGCCGGCCTCCATTGATTTATCAAATAGGACTGTGACCATATCGGTTGCTTTAACCGCCCCTATATCTGTAGTCAAAACTTATAGGAACTAAACCCAGTTCTCTAGGAACGACTGTGTCGTTAGATCAGTATGTAACACCAATTTCAACAATCTAAGGACCATCACTTTGTAAGTAGGTACCACTAAAGTCCCTGTCGAGGAGGCAGTAGCGACTGCGGTTTCCTAACAACCTTGCCCCTCCCCCCCCCCCCCCCGGCTTGACGTATAGGTTGTTTATAAACCTCTTTGTCTCGGCTTTATAACCAAACCAGGACATTGCAAAAGAAGTTAGTTTGTATTTGTAATGGCTGTTCTTTTTCTCAGCAGTTGCTTGGGAATGGAGAGGATAATCTCTCAATCCGAAGATAGATGGTATTAATGGGGCAATAGCGATTAAACAGCAATTGCTATGGCCTGTGTGGGGTTTCGCATTGAGTTGACAGATACTCACGGTAGAAATTCGAGAAGTCGATTGAATGGAGTGTTTATTTGAGCTTTCAATGGTTTTCTTAGAACAGGTTGTCGTTCAGCAGTTTTTAAACGGCCTTCTTACCATTGCAACGTAATAGCCTTATGAAAGTCTTTGGGATATCTTACCGACGAATGGTCCGAGTGCCAAACGGGGGCGTATCCATATGTGGAAAACAGGTTGTTTGTTTGTAAAAATTAAGCTCCAAATGTGCGTCGAGGCTGGTGGGGAATTACACCAATTTGGTTAGAAAAGCGTCCAGCACTTTGGTAAGGACTGTGTACTCCTATTGAAGCACTGGAACGGTGATGCAGATGTGGGAACATATAAAAGTTCCGGTTGGCTTTTCCTAAGCGAGGTGCTCTGCAAACCTTTTATCACAGACAGTGCTTGCGCAGGGCATTGTATATACACGTTCCCAACTTCAGCAGATAGAAAGCCACTAACAACGAGCTGGTTTTGGTTCGCCATTTCACAACAAGTGGTAAACTCCATTTGCGAAGGCGTTGGGGTAAGCGGGCAGCTGTTGAAAAGCAAGTGTACACCAATGTCTTCGCGTTAATGTAGCCGTCGTCCCACCTTCCTCTCGCGCCGTCGCCCTGCGGCTTTTCCCCTTCCGCGCCCGTGGTCCGGGTTGCCTGATACCGTACCATAAGTCCCCCAACCTGAGGTTTCCACCCGACTCCATTCTTCAATGTCGCAAATCTCAGCCAACTCCTTTTGGAAGATCCCCCTCGTATTACCTACGTTCGAGACTCCAAGATCACCAATTTTCCTGGAGAAAACGGTTCGGACATTTACTAGAAAAGGATTGACGGGAATCTTCCCTGGCACTGTTGAACAGGACCGCATCTGAGTCCACCTTGCTAACAGCATGGTGTTATTCTCTTCATCCCCAACCAATTTTTTGACAATTATTTGAATGTTGATTCTGATTTTGTGGCCCATATTCGACTAATGGTGTGAACTTCGGACAAATTCGCGGCGCGTAATCAAAATGATCAAAGAGTTATGTCCTGCATATAACTCAAGACAAATTCCAAGCGCGAAGCAAGTACTTGCTACGTAACAACATGTGGTAGCCACCTTAAAGGGAAAATAATGGTGCTACTGGCAAACAAAAAAGGAAAAACAACCTTACCCCGGTCAACAGCTTCCCCCGTGTGCTTGTCAAATCTTCTGGTACAGAACAGCCACTGTGGCATTGACAAAAAGCACAAACGGGAAGCGCAGTCATAACCTGAACGGTTTTCAAACCTAATTGGCGCGCCACTATTTCGAAACATTGCCTACATGAGAAAGTTCGACACCGCTGACCTTAAGTTGCGTTTCACTTAAAACAAAAGGGAGAAAACAAGTTGTAGAAACTGGAGGAAAAAATTATTCACAGTGACTACGGTGGAACCATATTCCAATCACGACAGCAAAGATCGAATATGAAGGCAAAAGCACACAGTTGGTTCCCTGATGTTATAAACAACTCATTTTGTAAAAACTGCGGACCAATTCTGAACACGCCTATGGTTGATATCCGGCCAGGAGTTGGGCGAAGGATGAATTCAGTTGCATGAGTTTGCAATCGCCGTTCTGTAACATGCCCCTACGCAGTTCCACCGCCCGCGGTCGCTACTCTATTCGGATTTACTGACCCCTATCACAACACCCGTGTGGTTACACTCATTCGTATCCAGCCTTCAATCAGCGCTATCTATACCATTTCCGAGTCAAGTTAGTTAATAGAGGAAGCAAATTGGTTCGTAAGCATTTTCAACTTGGTTCGTAAGCATTTTCAACTTGGTTCATAAGCAGTTTCAAGTTGGTGCGTTTCAAAGTTTGGCTAAGATGCACACACGCACCGACGAGTAGCTTCCTCATTGGTCAGACACCGTCGGCCAACAGGATGCCGTGTGTCACTATAGAGCAGGTGTTCTCAAACTTTTCGGCACGTGCACCCCTTTGTAGTGTAACCTAGCACGACGGACCCCTGAGCTTTCCTTATCCACAGAACTAGGCTTTAATAACATAAGAATGAGGTGGAGTTCATCGCTGTACACTGAATTTGCACAGTTGTTCATTTATGTTGGCAAAAGTGAAGGCTGTTGTTTGAA